ACTATACTTGAGGTCATATAAATATCAGTATAATTTGATATAACAATATTTTTAAAAAAAATTTCTATATGTCCTGATATATCGTTATATAGAGGTTTGACTGTATTCTTACTTTCTATTATATGATACACTTTATCAAACAATTAGACAAGTCTGACATATTGATATTCCTGTAGAACCACAATTTTTGGAAAGTCTAATTATTCCTGAAGATATGAAAAAAACTTTAAATATTGCTAACTTTTTAGTTAAAGATTTAACTGTTGGTGATAAAAGAATACTAATGTTTACAATTTCTGCTAATATTAATTATTTAGCACAATTATCTATTTGAATTATGGATAGAACTTTTAAAACTATTTCAACTATATTTAAGCAATTATATATAATTTATGGATGTATTGAAGGAAGTGAATATTCAAGGATTATGTCTCTTGTTTTTGTCTTAATGTTAAGCAAATCTGAAAAATATTATAAAAGATTATTTCAAGATTTAATTGACTTTAGTAATGAGCATAATATTAATTTATAACCACAATTTATTTTAACTGATTTTGAAAAAGCTGTAATTAATATAATTCATAAAGAATTCTAAATTCCAAATAAAGGATGTTATTTTTATTTATCTCAAAATATTCATTGTAAAGTGCAGAATCTTGGCCTTACTATTCAATATAGAACTGATGAAAATTTTAGTTTATTAATTAGGCATATACATGCACTTGCTTTTTTACATCCAGATGATATTCCTAATGTATTTGATGAATTAAGAATTAATATGTCAGAAAAAGCAAATAATATTATAGATTGGTTTAAAATTTATTATGTTCAAAATAGAATAAAATAAACAATAAAAAGTGAAAATATTAGTCAGTTATAACTAATATTTCTTCCCTCTCTTAAGTTAGGTGTTGATAATATTGAATATGCATTTCTTAGAACCTAAAATTCTGTTGAAACTTGGCATAGAAGATAGGAAATATTAGCAAGTCAAGCATATATAAGTGTATTTAAAATTATTAAAGAAATACAAAAAGAATAAAACTAAGTTCATCTCAATATAGAATCAATTTTGCGAGAAGCACTATTACTTTCACAAAAAAGAAAAGACCGTAAGCATGAAGATCAAATTCAAAAAGTATATAATGATTGTGAAAATAGGTCACTTATAGATTTTTTACAAGAAATTGCTCACAATCTTTTATTTTAAATAGTTTTAAATAGTTTGTAGTAAAGTCTAATCATTTTATATACTTTAGTTATATATTTATGAATAATTAATAAATAAATAAAATCAGAAACAAATGATCATTGAAAAATATAAAATATGGTATTTACTATACATGAAGTCAAAATAAAAATCCAAAAGTCAAAATGTTTTAACTTTGCAGGTCAAAATCAAAATGAAAAGTCAAAATAATCAAAATGATATCATATCACATGATTTTTTATATATAGGAAAAACAAAAAAAAACAAAAGATGTATGATCTCAGTCAATATCATTTCAATTCATATGAAATAACTACTATTCGATTTCTTGTGACTATGTGAATTTAATGAGCTAATATTTATTGATTTGGATCAGCCAATCTTGAGATATTTGTGATTGAATTTCAAAATCTGAACTTCTTTATTTTAAAGTAAAATTTAATAATTTATAATTTTAGCTGATAATATAATTGTGATTATTTCGAGATTAGATGATCTGAAATCAATGAATGTTAGCTCATTGGATTTGTCTAATTATAAAAATTCGAATAGTAGTTATTTCATATGAATCAGAGCAGTATCGATTGAAATCGTACATTTTTTGTTTTTTTATTTTTTCTATATATAAAAAAATCATGTAATATGACGTCATTTTGATCAATTCAACTTTTGACCTCTAATAGTCAAAATAATTTTGATCATTTCGACTATTTCAAATATCCGAAATAATTCATTTCAACTTTATATATAACATTTACTATAAAGTTTTTAATTTTGAAATTTTTTTTGAAATAATCAGCAGTAAAATAATCATTAGTAAAATAAACATGTCAGTGAAATAATTATGTCAGATAAATGACTGTCAGTAAAATAGTTATTGGTGAAATAAACTTGCCTATAAAATGTTTATCAGTAAAATAATAGTCAGTGAAACATTTGTTAGTGAAATGAACTAGACTTCTTCAAATTATCTTAAATAGCCATTTAAATTATAATTTCATATGCTTAATATAACTATTATGTAATTCAAAACCATTTCAAATAATTTAAATAACAAATATAAGATATCATAATTAATAATTTAACTTTTTTAGATATATAATATTAATTTCCTATGTATTTGTAGTCTTTTAAAATAGCTTGAAGAGATTATTTATCTAATATTACAATTTGTGAATATCTAAAGTAGTTATTTAAAATATTATCTGAAGTAATTATTTAAAATATTATTTGAAATAAACAATTGGAATATTATTTGAAATAAGTATTTGAAATAATTTCTAAAGTGATTATTTGGAATATCCAAAATGTTCATTTAGGATATTATCTAAAGTGAAAATTTGGATAATTTCTGAAGTAATTATTTGAAATAAATACGTATTAAATACATACAATAGCTTCCAAAAATAATAAAACTTATATTATCTATCATTAATCATATATTATTACATCATGTGTTATTCAATAAAGGTAAATTTATAATATATGTAAAATATCATATGATTTGTCAAATTTAATATTTTATATGAATTTAATTTGATTAGTTATTTTAAATCATATAATTTCCATACAGATAGCATTACGTTATTTTTAGCACTTTTTATATTTAAAATTTTATTTTATAATAAATGCTTAAAATAAAAATAAAAAAATTAATTACCACCTTGTATACCCTTCTTTAGTTTTCAAAACATCATTAATTTTTTAAGGCATAATTTTTATAAGTTTTATACAAAACTCTAAAGAAGTTTTGTTTCAAATTTTAGAAACTTGCTTCTAAAGTGTCTTCTTATCACAAATCATCATGTCTAATGACCTAAGCTTTTGATCTACATTATTTTATAGATGTTCTATCGGATTGAGATTGTGCTGATCAAGATAAGACTTGGAAATTTTTATTTGCAAATCATTTTCAGGTAAGTTTTGCTGTATTCTTAGAATTATTATCTTATTGAAAGATAATATCCTGAGTATTTAAATTATAGAATTTTAAAGTTTCTAAAAATCCATCACCCAAAATTTGATAATAAAGCTTATCATCCAACTCTCTATCAATTTGACAAAGGTATCTAATACCCAAAGAAGTGAAACATCTTTATATAAATATACTTCCTTCACTAATTTGACAGTAGACTTTACTAATCAATCACTTAATAGTTCACTATTCTTTTTCTAACAGTATTTCTTTCTATCTGATCCAAATATCTGATATTTAGATTTGTTAGACCAAACAACTTTATTGCAGTCTGCCACCATCCAAGTCTGATAATTAAAAGAATCATTTCTTTTAAATAAAATTAAATTTCAATGCTTTAATAAATAAAATATAGTAAGCAAAAGAATTATTAATAAATTAAATGATTATTACTAAATATAAAATAATGAAAAATTATTTTAATAAATATTATTAATTATTTTTTTTTTAATAATATATGATCTTTTTAGATACATTTTTTGTATGAAATATTTAAAGAATTTTTTTTATACTCATTAATAAAAATAATTTATACAAATTATATTTTTAAAATGTTTTATTTACTTAAGAATTCCAAAATTCAAATATATTCTAATTTAAAACTTATAAGAACATGATAAATTTCATATATACTATTTACATATAAAAATAAATTTTGCAATGATATTTGAATTATAAACTACAATTACATGAAATAAAACATATACATCAATATATTTTATTATAAGTGTGAGGTATAAACGCCAATCTGTCATTAAAAAATAATTAACAAAAGAAAAAAATAAAAATACAAATAAAATAAACCCCTTTTCTCAATCATTAAAGTGAACATTATATGCGGCAATTCCTTCGATGTAACTATCGTCATGTTGCGCCCTTTCCTTTGCATAATCCCATAATTCTGTACACATCACCTTTCGAAATTTCATATTAGCTTCTTTTGATTTAGCGATCTCTATAATGATATCTCTATTAATATCTTCTGCCATTAATCTTGCAAACATGCAAACGAATACGCCACAAGAACATCCATCAGACTGTGGAGGTTTTCTATTTAGAAAAACAATATCCAACAAAAAATTTTTATCATCATCATTAGCTTTACCTAATCGAAATGGATCCTTATCATTTATTTCAAAATCTTCATACTCATCATCATTATCTACAGATTGAACTTTATTGCGATATTCATCATTCAACCACTTTATGAGATTTTTCCCAATAGAGACGGCGCTTCTATTCATTAATATTCCCAATGAATCTAATACTGCAATTCTACGTGGAACCTTCATAAAAATTGCAGCCAAGATCCAGTGAGATTCGTCCAAGTTAATTGGAATAAAGATAAGTTCCTTTTTGAAAATATCTATTCTTTTTGTCCAACGTATAACGGAAGAATATTCGTATTTGCCAGTTTCCGTCAATTTTGTATAAAAAAATGATGGAAGAGAAAATATACTAGGGAATTTCTTATTTAAATAAGAAAGATAGGCATTAATATGATCAGAAGAAAGCCATATCTCTTTATCACACAAATCATATAATTTTCTAACTGTCAAAGATTCGGAATTAATATAGATAACGCTTTTGTTATCATTATCATTTTGGTCTTTCAAATACTCAAATACTTCTTCTCGGCTGTCTTTCTTGTATTTAAAAATTCCGGGGTATTTTTCTTCTAATTTATTCCAACGATCTGTGCCCGACCTCAATTGATATTTATGATTTTGTTGACTGCTTTCCATTGTGGTGGTTTTATTGACAATAAATCAAATGTCGTCAAGTTAAAATTTTCAGCCTTAATTATTAGAAAGTTAATTGTAGACGCGCTTAATTTATATCTTCCACACTCCACACCACACGTGAACAATTTCTAGGTAGATCACGTGGAGAGTTGGTACTACATCTAACTGTGATGTATATAGTTCATCTTGATGAAAGATCGTAATCTCGAATTATACAATGCTTTATAGGAACAAATTTTGGATCACTTTACTGTTAATATATACGGTTTCGGTAGGCGCAGACGAGCATTCCCACTCGGTACGCTGCTTCTTTATGTTAAAGATCTGCAAAAAAAGCAATATGTATATATATATACTCATTTATACTTTAATACTCGAATGTTTATTTAACATAGTATGAAGACGGTGAGGATGTGATAATATGGGTCAATACTGTAGGTCCACGCTCGAATCGACAAGAAACGTACGAGTATTTTCAATTACCATATTGTAAGGGAATTCACGTTGCTGGTAATTAGAAATTATTTATTATCATAGAACCAATGTATTTATTTTAATTCAGTTATGCTACCCTTTTTTAGAACATCATCATGAAACATTAGGCGAAGCATTGTTGGGTACGTACTTGTTATATGAGATTATGTAAACTATGCAGAGTATGGAATGTGACTAATTTATGTTTAGAAATTAATAGATTTGATGATGGATTATTAGTGATAAAATATTCTTTAATTTTACTTTAGGTATGGAGCTGGCTAATTCTGGGATTGAAATGAAGTTTCTTAGTGAGTGTCTTTCTTTCCTTTTAATTTGTGAAAATATTTCTAGTAAAATTAGAGGGGTGTCATCAGATTGTTTCTATCGATTTTATTTTAGATGTAAAATTTTGTTTTTAATCAATATGGCATAAATTGACGTTTTTTTTCTGACATGGCTTTAAGTTTCTTAATAAAAAAGACAAATTGTAGGAAAGAGAAAATACCGATTGTCGTATTCATAGAAGATGTTAAACTATTTATCAAGCAAATTCGGCTGGTGCATGTCTATTTCTCCTCTTTTATATTTTAATTTAATGTCACGAGAATTTTCAAATAACAAGTAGAATTTACCAACACTAAATTAGAATAATTTCCCAATTCCTTTTATAAAATAGTTTATATATAAATATAAATATCCATTTATTAATAATAATGACTTTCCTTTTTATTATAGCAAACGAACAAAATGCAACTATCTGTGAGAAAGAACTAACAGCAAAAGATGTAAATCTATTCCGTTATGCAGTTGTTAATAATTATTGGTATCAGATGTTTCTTGGTAAGTTAATATGATTAAATTATTTGTTGCAATTTTTATATTTTAATTTGAATTCTTTAAAATCTTCATATAGATGACCTACCAGTATGGGGTAAATTCAAATTATCTTTACTTGACTATATTTAAGAGCTTTTCTGATATAATAAATCATTGTTGTTGTTATAGGATTTGTTGGAGAAGTAGACAGTGTCTCGGGTGATGTGTTTCTATACACTCATAGAGAATTTGAAATGAGTTATAATGATGACAAGGTACCATATTTGATCTGACAATGTTATGAAACCAATTATTCATATAAAATTACTTCTCTTCAATACGTTATGATAGATTGTTCAAGTGAAGCTTGAAAGTGGAAGTCCTATAAAATTATATTGGGATACTAGGGATATCCCAGCACGATTTTCATATTCAGTTAAATGGGTTGATACTCAAGATTCGTTTGATACAAGGTTCGATAAACTTTTGGACACCGACTTTTTTGAACATAAGGTATTTAAAGCTAGTGTGTTAGACACTTGAAATTAAAAAAATAAAAATAATAAAATATTCTTTGCTTGTAATCGTCATGATAACTTAATAATTGCTTATTTCAAAAATAGATTCATTGGTTTTCCATTTTCAATTCGTTTATTATGGTTATTTTTTTAGCGGGATTTGTCAGCATTATATTACTACGCATGTTAAAGAAAGACTACGCTAGATATGATAAAGAAGAGTTACTTGGAGATTTGGTAAATTTATATTCTTTATTAAAGTTAAGCTGTGCGGATTCCTTCTGGACTTTTTAAATAATGTCGCTAGCTGGTTATAGTTTAGTGGGAATAATAATATTTAATATATGAATGTACTTATATATATAATTATTTATAATGTTTCTTGTAGGATCATGACTTGGGTGATGATTATGGCTGGAAACAAGTTCACGGTGACGTCTTTCGTGCACCAAAATCTTTATTGCTCTTTTCAGCATTAGTTGGGACAGGTCACCAATTAGCATGGTTAACGCTTGTAATCATTTTATACACAATAATTGGAAATTTATACGCAGAGTGAATATCGACTTCAAACTTCAATTTGGATTGAACCGCTGTATGATAATCATTTGGGATTGGGAAATCAAAAAATTTAATGGATATTAATTTTAACGATAATTAAGAAAAATCAATTTTTTTTTCCTGATTAGGCGCGCTACTATTTTGACGGCTTCAATCTTCTTTTATACATTAACTTCAGTTGTTGCTGGTTATACAAGCGCAAGTACTTATTACGTGTATGGAGGTAAATTGAAACATTATTTATGATTTAAATTTTTAACAAGTAATGAAGATTAACATAATTATTATAGGTCGTCATTGGATAAAGAATGTTCTAGTCACTGCTTCTTTATGGCCCGGATTACTTAGCGTTATTACTATAATTATTAATTCCATAGCCATATATTATTCTAGTTCACGTGCCATCCCTTTCACGATTATGGTATTTTAAAAACGATTCTATAATAATTATTATTATTTATTACTTCTATTAACAGTTTATTTATAATTAGTTGGCAATGTTTGCAATTTGGTTGTTCCTTGTGTTTCCATTAACATTTCTTGGAACAATTCTTTGTCGCAATTGGGCAAGTCGTCCAAGTTTTCCTTGTCGTGTTAATCCTATTCCTAGATCAATCCCTGAAAAAATTTGGTAAATTAATTATTGCAAGAGGAAGTTGATTATTAATTTTGATTTAATAATATCATTTTTTTTTTAAAAAAAAAAATTTAGGTATGCAGAACCTCTCATAGTTATAGCTTTGGGTGGAATTCTTCCTTTTGCGTCGATTTTCATCGAGATTTATTTTATTTTCTCGTCATTTTGGGCATATAAGATTTACTATGTTTATGGGTTTATGTTATTTGTTTTCATAATCCTTCTCATAGTAACTGCGTGTGTTACCATAGTTAGCACATATGTTTTGCTCAATTCTGAAGACCATCGATGGTATGTTAATTATATATATGTATGTGTATTGGAAAATTTTGTTCAAACATTCCATTGACTATTTACAGGCATTGGATGAGCTTTTTGACTTGTGGATCTACTGCAATATATGTTTATTTATATTCTATATATTATTTTGTTAATCGAACCAAGTAAGTTTAATTCCTTTTAGAACGATTTTTAATTTTTTTTTTTTTTAAATATTATATTCTTTTTATTAGAATGTATGGTCTTTTTCAAACATCATTTTATTTTGGAAACATAGCTATAGTATGTTTTGGATTATTCGTAATGTTAGGTACTGTTGGATATTTTGCAGCAAATAAATTTGTTAAAACAATATACAAAAATGTTAAATTAGATTAGAATGTAATATTTTGTAATAATTGAGTAATTACTACCTAATCATTATGAAATAATCCTTTAAATATGAAGAAGTAAGTTACTGTTTGTGGGTTTGATGCAATACTCATTAATAGATAAAAGTATAATGGCGAAGTTATTTATGACAATACTTATTATAATGAATAAAATGTAACTTAATAATTATATAAAATTTATAAAAATTTTAAATTGTTTTGGAAAATAATATCAAAGATATTATAGCAGTCAAGTCCAATTTTTTTTCTTTTTCCTTTCTTTTTTGTAAAAAAAAAATTAAATTTACCAACTTACCTATGCTGTATTAATTCATTCTAATGTACTTATAAAGTATAATAATAATAATAAAAAATAAAGGTAAAATAAACGGGGAAAGTCTAAAACAATAAAAAATACTTTGATTCAATAAACACTACAAGTTTAAATAATGAAATTTTGTTGTTAGTAATTGTAATAAAGTCGGAATATCCAAGAAAAATGCAAATGAAAGATGATATATCAAGATTTTAATGCATGTAATCTAGCTTGCATTTCATCCAATGCTGCAGCAGGTTCCTCCTCCTCCTCTAATCCCGGATTCTGTTAAAAGTGGAGAATTAAAACGAATTGAATCAAAAACAAAAACAAATTAAGTAAAAGTTATAGTTATATAATTAAATTCATACCTCTAGTGGTACATTAACAACACTAGCTTCACCAAGCAATCCTACAAAGAACAAAATAATAAGTTTACATCTTTTTTTATAGTAAATAAATATTGTTATTATTACCATTTGTAACTTCAAATAAAATTTTATTGACTTCTTCATCTGCTTCTTCTTCAATGTCGCTATCTTCCATTAATTCAAATGTATCTCCTATCATTTCATCGATGATACCAGCCTAATCACAACAAAACAAAAAAATGTTATTGCCAATAACTTTGTTAATTTTTTGTTAAAATTAAATTAATGTTGAATATCTGTCATTACCTTCGTCATTTCCATTGATAATTCTTGCATACCTTTTGATAATTCTGGTAACCTAGATAACCCATTTACCATTTTCATTATTTCGGTACTTTTTTTTAAAGATCCAGATAATTTAAGAGTAGCTATTTCATTTATTTAAATTTGATGAAAAATTTTATTAAGATAATTAATTATTTTTTCGATTCTCACTTAAATCACGAACCTTTTTCATAAAAGAAAACATTCACTCTTTAAAGTTAATGCCCTTTTACTCTTAACTTACCTGATTGAGTTTGTAGTTGTAATTGAATAGAATTCAATTGTGCTTTACTAGTATATAATCTAGTTTTTTGTCGTCTGCTTCTAACAAGTTCCTTGGCAAATAATTTACAAGCTGTTAAATCCTTTTTTTTACCATTTTGCTTTAATAAGTTTGTAGTTTTTTTTTCTACTTCTTCAAAATCTCTTATTTGTCGATCTAATGATCGTTGTTGAGTTCTTATTTCTCTTTGCCATTTCTTTACCTTGTATCAAAATAAAACAAAATTATTTAAAAGTTTGTATATAATATAGTGACGAAAAGACAGAAGAAAAGTTTATTGTGACGTTCGAATTTACTTTAATAATTACTTTGAAGTATTACCATTTCATCCGGTGTAGGCTTTTTTCCGAAAAACTTTTGTACCGATTCCATAATTTCTATAACGACGAGTGACAATGATTCAATAAAATAGAAAAGATTGAATTTTTGATAAACAATGTGCGCTCGGACTATTTACGTTACGCAATAAATTTGTCGAATGTTCACATGATTTAGAATTATAGAAATTATTGGAAAAAAAAACTTTCTTAAATTACAAGAAATTATAATAAGAATTTAATTGTAAAAAAATTTGTATTGAGAATCTCTCGAATCGAAACCAAAATGCTATGATACTATGTCTAATTAGATTTCTTTTTTTTTTTTTTATTTGGTGACGAAATAACAACTTTATTTGATTTGCTATTGCTCTGAATCACCTTCGTAGATTTATTTTTTTTATTCTTGTTAACACCATCACTTTGATTTGACACAAATCTCTTTTTCTTTAAGGAGCTGTTATCATCCTTCATTTCACTCTTGTTTTGTTCAAATCCATCTTTGAAAATATTGTTATCATTGACGGTATCCATTCCCCTAATCATAGCTGAAGTGATGTCACCATCAAGTAATTGATTATGCTCGTTTGAACTTTCGTCCATTCCTTCCGCTTTTTTAACCGGCTTTTCATATTTCAATTTTTTATAATTGTTACTGGTGAAAATAATAGGATACCCTTCCTTTATAAGCACGTGGTCGTCAGAAACCTCATCAAAATTTGGATGAGTAGCTAAATAATTTGCGATCCTCCTTATACTGTTCTTCTTACTATCGGACAACGTTTGTCCTGCATCACTAAACCTGAATTCATCGACCTTCTTTAAAGCTTCTTTCTCTGTGACATATTCTTTAAATTCAACGTTCCTGATGATTAAAGGATTATTGTAAAGTTTAACTTGACTCATTGATTACTGAATAATAGTTAATTGTGTTCAAATATAAGAAGGAATAAGATATATATTATATATATATATATATATATTTTGTTTATCGTTATTGTATCCTTGAACTATTTCACAAATTAGGAAATCGAGTTGTCGATCTTCGCATCATGTCATTTGTTATTTTATTCTTTATTAAAAAAAAAATAAATAATTTTTTACATTATAAAGAAATATATATTTAAATAAATTAATTTAATTTAAGACATTACTACGTTTAAAATATCCATTCTTGTAAAAAAATTTTAAAAAGAAAGAGATTTACTATATTTATTGTGACATATATATTTATAGGTTATTATGAAAGAATTGGGCCAGAATGAACGACTTCTGAAGCAGTTTGTTCTTGATAAATTTTGAAATTTTCAATAAAACGTTTAGCTAATAAATCTCTAGTTTTAACATAATCCGCTTGAGCTCCTTTCCAAGTTCTAGAAGGATTTAAGATATCTGATGGAACTCCGGTACAAGATTTTGGAATGTTAAGATTAAAAACTTCATAATTTTCATATTCTGATTTAGTTAATTCACCGGAATGAATAGCATCAATAATAGCTCGAGAATATTTGAGCTTTATACGTTCTCCTACACCATAAGCTCCACCATTCCATCCTGTGTTTATTAACCAAGCATCAGCCCGATGATGTTCCATTTTATCTGCCAACATTTTAGCGTATCGATAAGGATGTAATACGAGGAAGGGTTGTCCGAAACATGCAGAGAATGTAGCTTCTGGTTCTGTTATTCCATCTTCTGTACCTGCAATTTTTGCGGTATAACCAGAAATAAAATGATACATAGCTTGAGACGAAGAAAGTTTTGAAACTGGTGGAAGTATTCCGTAAGCGTCACATGTCAATAAAATAATATTCTTTGGATGGCTTGATGAAATACATGGTACTTTTGCATTTGGAATGAATTCAATAGGATAAGCACATCGAGTATTCTCTGTAAGAGATGAATCATCATAATTGACAGTTCTGGTATGTTGATCATAAACAACATTTTCCAAGACTGAACCAAAACGTATGGCATTGAAAATTTCAGGTTCTTTTTCAGCTGATAAGTTGATACATTTTGCGTAACAACCTCCTTCGATGTTAAATATACCATCGTCCGACCAGCAGTGCTCATCATCACCAATTAAGAAACGTTTTGGATCGGCAGAAAGTGTAGTCTTTCCAGTACCGGATAGACCAAAGAAAATTGAAACATCCCCATCGGGTCCTTCATTTGCAGATGAATGTAATGATAAAACTTTATGCTTAACGGGCATCAAATAATGCATTACAGTGAAGCTAATTAAATATTAAAAATAAATAAATTAAAATGAATAAATGAATTCAAAAAATATATATATATATAAATATATCTCGTATGCTTACATTCCCTTTTTCATTTCACCAGCGTATTCTGTTCCAAGAATTACCATTTCGTTCATGTGAAAATTGATTGCAACTGAAGTGGTAGACGTCATGCCAGTTGTGTAACGATTTGCTGGGAAAGCACCAGCATTATAGATAGTGAAATCGGGAGTTCCATAATTTTCGAGTTCCTCCGGGGTGGGACGTATTAACATATTTCGCATAAACAAGGAATGGTAGGCACGAGCCGAAACCACACGAACCTTAATACGATATTTTGGATCCCATCCGGCAAAACCGTCGAAAACATAAATACGTGAACGGGTATTCAAGTAATCAACCGCACGTTCTCGATTGATGAGGAAAACGTGTTCTGGCAATTTAGTGTTAACAGGTCCCCACTATTAAATCATTTTTGAATATTATTTATATTTAAACCTTTCGCTTTTTAACGTCCAAAAAAAAAAAACCTCATAAAAGGTTCATACTAACCCAAATATCATTGGTTGAGCCGGGTTCTTCGACAATACGTTTATCTTTTGGGGAACGGCCAGTTTTCATACCAGAAGCCGTTACCAATGCACCAGTTGAAGAAATTGCAGAACCAGTTTCATATTTTAAAGCATCCTCATATAATTGAGCAACTGAAGGGTTCCATTGAATAGCTACACGATCATAATCGATATGCGCATTCTCATGAAGTTCTTCTTCGATTCTTGTATGAGTGTGATTACCGTTTGACATTGTGGTTTTTGTAGAAAAAAATTTATTAGGTTTTATTAAAGCAAGTTGTTTTAATAAACTAGAAGAAGAATAATTTTTAACTTTGGAATTAAATTCGATATTAAAATTATTATTGGCTTTTAAATTGTAAGAATTTTTTAAATAGAAAGTTGTAATAAATCTCTTTGAAGTGGTATTAAAAAGTCGAGTCGAAACTCGGGGTTTATATACAAGGTGATGTAAAGAATTCATAGATAATGATAAATTAAAATTAAAATAAATTCTAGGGAAAAAAAAAAAAGCCGCCGCGTTATTTGAAACTTATTTAATGGTAATTAGTTAAGGATCAAAAGATTTTTAATGCAAAAATTTTTAAAGGTAAAATATTAATATAAATAAATACTATAAAAGTAAAGATATAAAACTTGCATGATTTGTCGGAAAAGTTCGGCGAGGCGTTGGATTGGGAAGCCTCTAAAGGAAAATCCATTCGTAATTGAACCCCTACACAAACATAGTGACGTACATGATTGAAAAAATTGATGAAAAGTTCACTTAAATGACTTCTCAAGCCATCGTATCATTTCGCCAACTTTGGTATATCAGCAAGAGCAGTTTTTCTCTTCAAGAATCGTATCATTTAAATTATTTTATCCGGATAATTTAAGAATTGATCGACGTTAAATTCTGGTATTGTGGGGTACTTTGTTGTTATCCGTAATCACCCGTTTATGGTTTTATGGAGAAAGGGGAAAACTTTAGTCGGGACGGAGCGGAACGGGTAAATTCTTAATCGGAACGGAACGGTCGACCAGATTTTTGTTACGCAATCTTGTTAATGGTTGAAAATTCCTAAAACCCGTTAAAAATAAGTTGCTCAAAATGGTAAAATAATTTTTTAGCCTTTAACGTTAACACATGATATAAAACATTCCGGCATGGGCATGCACCACATCATTATTATGTTACATTTGAATACAAAATAATAATGATAAAAATATGGAGAAGCAAATAATTTTCAGAATTAAGTAATATGGCTTTTCATGAGAATTATTAGGAAAAGCAGTGATTATCCTTGTCAATCATAACAATGTAAAAATGAAAATTGATAATTGTTTAATTATTGAACAATTTCCATATGCGGATAAACATTTATATCGTGATAATTCTTTGATAAGTGTTGCTCTTTCCTTTCGTATAAATCGAATAGACCATTTAAATAACTGTATAGGAACATATCATATGATTTACTATTTAATCTTATTATGAAACTAGCCAGGAGAGGTGGTTACTCGGCGATTCATCCAATAAAATGATATTCGTTATATGTTTTTATTGCTATGATATTAGAATAATATTTAATACGGCGTTGCTAAAACTCACACCCTGTGAATAATCACTCCTACGGTAGAAATAAAATACATCTTTATGCTATTATTTTGACAAATCTACATTACATGTCCGTCTATTATGTGTTGTATATTGCTTACACCTTCCACATTTTTTCAACCGCTTATTAAGCTCACTATTTGTTCTGTGATCATTTTGTCTCCTAAAGTTATACAAAGTTCTGCATTTGGCCGACTAGTTTCTAAAGAACTTTTATACCTTTTTTGAGGTGGCCTTTCACATAGATTGGATTAGAAATTTTTATTTGGCTTTTATCTGTATTTTTCTTATCATCCATTCCATTCAAACTAACTTCCATAGAATATATAAAATCGTTGAGTAAGTTAATATATTCTGATTCTTGTCCTAATTGTTTAGCAAGATTTTCTGTAATCCATAAGCATTTGCATATTGTTGATAATCATTTACAACTTCTTTTAATTCTGATGAAAAAATATTTTCTCTGCGTATCTTATTCAGATAAGAATACTCCATATTAGGAATTCCATAAACAGTTTCATTTTGAGAATTATTAAATAATTGAATTGATAGTGAAATACGTATTTCATTAACAGATAATTGTGCAGCTTGATCATTATATCATCTTAATGGAATTAATGAAATATTGAAAAAAGCTGACTTGCTTTTTGTAAGAATTTTGATAAAATAATGACAAATAATTCTTTTATTAATTAATATTAAGCATGTGCATATGTACTGTAACTCCTATCTTTTAAAAGAACAATATATTATGCAAGCTAAGGTTATGCACTAATTGATTGTTATATATGCCATATTTCAATAATTAAAGACTTTAAAATGTTTTTGATAAGGTTTTTAAGTATTGCTTTTTTCCAATCATATTTATTGTTAATAGCATTATTTTGAAAAGTATCATTTTTAAAATTCTAGAAAAAAAAATTAATAAACTAATTAGATTCTAATTCAATCTGTAACTTATACACGCTTTGGCACTAAATTACCAACTTACCAATATATTCAAATTTAAATTCAAGTCAATTTGTATTGCTTCATATAAAATACTTTCAGAAATTTCCTTCTTAGTAATTATCAATATATTAGAAGTTAAAAATTCTTTTAATATCTGAAGAATTGATCCAAAGAATTTCTCATCAATACGTTGTATACCAATTATAATATTTTATTTTTTTGATCTTCAAATTCAGCATATTGTCTTTTCTCCTCTAACCTATTATGAATATGTTGTAAAGTGAACTAATAAAGCTATATGAAGACCATCTTGTTTAATAGTATTATTTTCGGATTTTGTCCTTTGAGTTGTTATAGTACCAGCTGTAAATTGTGTTTATGTATAATAATAAGCCTAAAAAAAGCGTATTAGATACAATTTATCTTGCTAATAAGACTTAGCGGCAGAATAATTTGATATCAATTATTGCCATCTTCTTTCAAAGTCTTCAATACATATACTATTTTAAGTTTTAATGAATAATTGATGATAAGAAGTAAATTCTTCTCAAAGTTTTCCTTTTAATTATTTTATAAAATTTTGATTCAAATTAAAGATAGGAACTGTAATTAATATGTTGCAACTTTTAATGTTGCAACTTACGTTGCAATTAGTTTTAACCTAT